GAAAAAGTTATTTATTTTAAATTCACAATGAATTTAAGACCTCTTAAGTAATAAATTAATAACCATTAGCCTTTCTATATGTGAACAAAAGCTGATACTATCTAGCTCTCCCTAAAAAACAAGAAAGACTGAAATATCCTAAGTCACTGAAACATACTTGCAAAGAATTTTGAGAGAAATAATGAGTGACTAGGTTATAATGCAAAATCATACTTAGAACCTTTTTCCAGAAAAGTTGACACAAACTTTTGTTTCTATGATCAACATAATGGTTTTTGAGGAGACCGACTATTTATTTCAGTTTTTATAACTATTAGAGCCAGTAAATTTTTCCACATATATTACATTTTTATTGCTTACCTCTTCACCTGTCTCAATATCTAAGGATAACTGGTAGTTTACATTTTAATGATTTAAAGCAAAATAAAAGTCACTAAATGGCACTTAGTATACTATAATGAGTACCAAATTATTTTGATCAAAAAGAAAGCTGTTCCTTGGTACAAAGGAATCAGATTGTTAGTCCTTATTTGATCCTCAAAGTAGAACTTTCCACATGTCACACATGCTGAAAATACTTAATCCCAGAGTCACCAAGAAGAACTAAGATTAGAGCACAAGTTTAATTTCTACTCACACTTTTTCATCTAACCTCTATTCTGTCCATTAATTACAATAGTAAAAATATACAGCTATATTCTCATATGAACTTATTTGAAACAGAATGTAAGAATTTAAATACATATGAAATACACATTTTAGAAAGTACAAACATATCATTACTTATATGTAGTATACAGGTACATTTCTCTCTTACACATACATACACACTCTCATTCATATATCATGGTGAATTCAATTAACTAAATGTTTCAGCAGTGTATTTTGAGAAAATAGATTTAAAAAATACTTAAGGATATTTATTAACAGTATATAGATCATTAATTCAAATGAGCACATTGTTTATGCTGAAAACATTCATGTAAAATACATCCTCTTCTGAGAACTTATTGAATTTTATAAACTTTACAAACTCTCTTTCAAAAACATTTTTCAAATTAACATCTATGTACCTAATTCATCAAAGTGTGTTTCTGGGCCATCTTCATCAGTTACCGAGCACACCAGCCTTGCCTTTAAGAAGGTAGTCCACTTGTTGACAAGGCTACGCAGTCCACCAGTATCATTCTGAAATTATTTTGTAAACACATTTCAGATTGCTTAAATAAATACTTAAGTTTATTAAAAATTCAACTGGGATTCTTATTAGTTGGGGATTTGTTATAGTCTGAGGGATGGATGTGTTAACTCCATTTGGATATTAATAGAGTTAATTAATAGAGAGGAATATTTAAGATCTATAATAATATTATAAAATAGCCATGAGTTATACTATTATTCTCCTACAGTATGATATCAACTGAAAATGTTTCAAAAATAAATTTAATGAATATATGCCCTAAAGCTTTATAAGTTTAATAATATATAATGGAAATACATATAAAATATTATGTAAAACACATAATTTAATTTGCTTTTTCTTTACATTGTCTTCAATATAAACATAATTATTGTATATCGTGAAGCTTGAAGATTCTCCTGCAGTCAGGAGAGTTGATTTGTACTTAACACCAAATGGTCCCCAATAGTTCTATTTTCTTTTCTCCTTAATTTCTTTTCATTTACTCCTCAATATTCCTAATCAGATGCTTTAATACAATATTTCTCCATCCAGAACAGGGAAAATGGCATTGGGATCCTTTACGAATTGTCTCTATTGATGACATTTTTTTTCTCTATGTCCAGAACCCTTTCACCTCTTCTGCTGGTTTTACTGCCTTGTTCCAAATGATTAAGAAGCAGATGAGTTCCATGATCAGTGGAATGTTGTAAAATTTAAAGATAAACTATTTTAAACACTGAATTCTTTAAGAAATAATTTATAATATGCTAATCATAAATGTCAGGGCAAACCTGTAAAACACCTATATGATTAGATATTATGAGTTTATTTGAGTTGCACTATTTACTTACTTTAAACATAAGAATATTTTGCTTAATATTTATAATTAAAACTGTATTTTACTAAAGGATTTTCTAATTTTCACTGTTGTAGATAATTCCTCAATAAATATTTTCTACTGAGGTTTTACTATATTTTATTCATAAGAATTACTATTACTTTCTGTAATATATAATTTAGCTATTTGTTTTTAATAGTAATACATTAAATAGAAAAGCAAAAATTAATCAAAATTGTTAAAACCACAACCAAAATATTATCTTGAATTAAGGTCTTTGCTGAAATAAGGTGTTTATCTCTTATGACAGATGTGAATAAACATTAAATTAAAGTATCTCCTCTAAATATTTTATTAATTTATAATAGCAGATAAGAAAAATAGAAAGATAAATACTGGGAAAATAAAACATTTATATAATTTGAATTCCTTAGGATTTTTTCAGATTAGAATAGTCAAAGCAATTTTGAGAAAGACCAAATCTGGAGTTATCACACTCCTACTTTCAAACTATATTACAAAGCTATAGTAGTCAAATCAGTATGTTAACTAGTATAAAAACAGACACATAGACCATTGGAACAGAATAGAGAGGATTAATTTATGACCAAGGGGTCAAAAATGTAAAATGAGGAAAGATTAGTCTTTTCAATAAATGATGTTGGAAAGATCAGGCAGCCACATGCAAAAGAATGAAACTGGGCCAATTTCTTACATTATACAAAATAATTAACTAAAAATGGATTAAAAATTTGAATGTAAGACCTGAAACCATAACACTCATAGAAGAAAACAGGCAGTAGCTCCTTGACATAGGTATTGGCAATAATTCTTTTAATTGACACCAAAAGCAAAGCAACAAAAGCAACAATAAACAAGGGGAGTGCATCAAATTAAAAAGCTGCACATCAAAGAAAACCATCAACAAAATGAAAAGGCAACCTACTAAATGGGAAAAATAATTGTAAATCATATATCTGATAAGGAGATAATATACAAAATATGTAAGGAACTCACACAACTCAATAGCAAAAAAAAAATATCCATAAAAATGAGCAGAAGATTGCAATAGATATTTTTCTAAAAAAGCATACAGATGGCCAATAAGTACATGAAAAGATACACAAAATAACTAATCATCAGAGAAATGTCAATCAAAACCACAGTGGGTTATCATCATATACTTGTTAGAGTAGCTATTACCAAAAAGGCAAGAAATAACAAGTGTTGGCAAGGATGTAGAGAAAAAAGAACCCTTGTGCACTGTTGGTGGGAACGTGAATTGGTGCCACCGATTCTATGGAAAACAGTATAGAGGTTCTTCAAAAAATTAAAAATAGAATTATCGCATGATCTAGCAATTTCACTTCTGAGCATTTATCTAAAGAATGATATATGCACCCCATATTCATTGCAATATTATTTATAACTGCCAAGATAGTTAAACAACCTAAGTGTCCATCAACAAATGAATGTTAAAGAAATGTAATATATACACATTGGAAAACTAGTCAGCCATAAAAAAGAATGAAATCTTGTTGTTTGTGACAATGAGGATGGACCACTATGCTAAATGAGATAAGTCGTATGCAGAAAGACAGATGCTATATGATCGCTTATATGTAGGATCTAAAACAAAAATTATAAAAAACAGCTCATACATACAGAGAATAGATTGGTGATTGCAAGAGACAGAGTTAGGTATGGGAGAAATGGGTGAATGTTTTTTGTTTTAGTTTAAATAAATTGAATTTAAAAACCAAATTAATACTTACAGGACATATTCTAGCAATCATGGAATATATCTGTTTTGTGCTTCTGCTATTGTCAGTCAGTTTCTCTTTGAAGAAGAAGTAAATCTTAGCATCATTTGGATCAGTTCCATCTGGGATGACATGTGCATCCACAAACGTAGGTTCTGAAAAAGATAACAAAGACTATATGTATATTCATGATGAAAATCCATCTTCTATTCATCCAAGTAGACCACAGGCACATGCATTCTTCTTTGGTACAGAAAAATAATCCAATGGTAATAGGCAAAAAGTCTAAAAGCAGTAATTGTATTTAGTCAATATGCCTCATTTGGGATGTCAAGTGCCACAAAATATAGCTATGGTATAACAGCTCAATTATTTTTCTATGTCTTCAATACATTCTGGAAGTTCAGTAAATGCAAAAAAATCTTTGTGCACTGATGAATTTTAAAAAATTGGAAAAACTTTTCTACCAGCTATTTCCCATGGAATCTGATGGTCATTTCATAAGAAAAAAAAAAAGTGTGGTTTTCAGTCTAGTGCATATAAACTCAAATTCATTGAAGCAGGAGGAGTTGGGAGTCCAAGATCTAAAAAACACATTTTTCTTAAAATACAGCGTATGAAATAAAAAGGAAATGTTTTAAGGAAAAAAAAATGAAGTCATTTGAAGACATAGAGGGATTCCTTATTTCAAGAACAAAACAACTTTTAGGATACTCTGTTTCCAGATGTACTGAGGAATAATTTGAAGAAGTAAATGGACAATCAATGCTTTCTTGTGCTGGTCTACCAATGAAATAAGATGCTTAACTGTGACAATTAGTGCTTAACAGTGCAATGTTAAGTGAATTGCCAAATTTAGGGTGAGCTAGAAAATTTCCCCAGGGAGAAATGACAAAAATTTTAGTAGTTTCTTCCTCCTCTAAACAACAGCAACAGATTGAAATTGTGCATTAAAGTCAGATGAGCACCTTTCATGATGTAAATTCCATGTGATCCTGAGAACTGGAAGCAGTTGAATACTAATAATCATAAAACTATCATACCTATAATTTCTATTAAGTATTAGTCAAATTATAAAAAAACCCACCAGTTTTATAATTTTAGAATCTAAGTATAAAACAAATAGAAGTTTCTGAATATACTTTATTCATTATATCTTTCATGAAATTAGAAAAAAAATCAGATAAGACATTATTGAAATATATCAAGCAAACTAAATAGTAAATAGCATATTTAATTGTAATATGTTACAGAAACAATCGGAGAAGATTGTTGTATATGGGCATGCATGATAAATATCACTGTCATTTTTATTTATTCATATATCCTATGATAATTGTATGATAGTTAATAAAGAGAATACGAATTATCAATAATTGCAATTATTTATTCTAAATATTTAAAACCATAAAGTACAGAATTATTGTTATTCATGTCATGGCCTGGTATTATAATATTTTAACCATTTTAACCTAATTTTTACTATGGAATTAAATTAGTTTAAAGCATGATTCTCAAAAAAATGCATGAAACGTTTTCTTACCACTTAGCCATTTGGAATTGTGCTGATCAGTTCTGACTGCATTCCTTTTAGTTAAACTTCGAAAAATAGCAGCATCTGTCCCCATGAAATCTATATACATTCCAGAAAAAAGCTCCTCATCTATGAAAAAGAAAATGTCAACAAAGTTGTAAATATTTTTAAGACTGTTTTAAAAATCAAGACCTTGCTTATTAGATCATCCCTATATTACAGTGTTTATAATTATTAATTAGTTTACATTGTCCACCAAATAAAAAATTCGATAGTTTAATCTGACCTCATTATTGCCTCTATGATTACTAAAACAATTTTATTCTACATAGGAATAAAAATTCCTCTGTCTGTACTTAATTATACTCAAGTTTATACTGTGTGTATCAGAAATGGCAGAATAACATATATAGAGAAGATTACAAAATGGCTTAATTAAATGTTACTTTCTTTTAATAAATAAAAGATATTGTAAGAGTCAGAAAACTTGGTTTCTATTTTTGGTAGTAATTATTAAATTGGGAATTAGGGCTAAGTTATTTAGCACTCTGATTTTCAATCTTCTCATCGGTAAAATATAGGAATTCAATTATGATCTCAAAAATTATTGCCACATATTAAAAATTCTTTGATTTTACTGAATAAATTAAAAATAATATTTTTTATTATTATTTCATGACAAAGGCAACATTAAAATTGTCAAAATACTATTAATGATAAAATAATTTCATCGTTAAAAGTATATGTTTTAATTTTGAGTGCTATAGAAGGTTTCTATAAGGTAAACAAGACACTACTTTTTCAACTGTGACATATAATATATTAAATTATGTTAATAATATAATATTAGTAAACCACATATAGCTTAACATGTTAAGTCATAAAAAATACAATGTAGAAACAAGAAAAGATACTTTTGAATTAAGTTAAATTATCATTATTAGTGGAATAATCAGATATTTTAATCTGTATATGTAACATTTAAGATTTAGCAATTTGTTAAAATCTATTTAAATCTTTATCCCAGTAAGGACAGTAACATTAACTTAGTATGTGTAACTCTAAAGTATAAAACGGTAGTTAAATATCTATTTAAAAAAGAATAAAATTTATCAGGTGTGGCCCACTGAACCACCATGCAGCTGTGTTCTTTGACTGATGTTCTAGAATTAGTGCCTGGCTACCTTCAGATTGTGGTCATTTTGGCAGTAGTGGAACATTTTGAAGCACTCTAAGTTCACTGTTTAGTAACAAGAAATATCAGCTAGCCCAGGATAGAATGGAGAATGGAATGTTTTTAATATGTGCTCACCAGGGAATGACTAGGACCCCTACCAGTTAGCAAGTGGTCATAGCAGGCATTGTGTTGCCCAGTTCTGCTTCCTAGTAGGGACCTAAAGCTCATGGGAACAGATTATAGGGAAATAACAAAAATGTACATGAAAACATTTTGAGCAGTTTAGCTTCTTTAAAATTCTGTGAACATTTATGGACCATCTATACAAGAATTCTGTAGATACAATGGTTGTTAAACTAAAATAACTTTGTAATTAATTATTTTATACTTGTCGTACCCAATCATCCCGAAAACAGTGGGTTCTAAATTCCTGTTACTCGACAGATTGAATAGCACAGCTATCAATTATCATATCTGTCTCCAAGAAGGAAAGTATAAAGGACACTCAGAGGATGGTGTATGGAGAAGAGGGCTGATTCTAATCCTATTGCATAGAACCTTAGTAGTTATGTCTTAAACCTTATAAGAGCCTGCATGCCTGACTTCATTTCCTGTCTTAAATTTCTTAGTAACATTAAAGAAGGTTTACGATAATAAAATTTCTGCTTTATTTTCTATAAAAAATATTTAATTCATGTCACTTTGGAAAGAATTTTGTTTGAAAGTAGGTTTTTTTATTCAGAATTTCTTCGTAAGATTTATCCAAAGATAAACATGCCTTTTAACTTTAATTTAAAACGCTTTTGTTTTCCAATTGTACTTCCACTGACCAGAAAAATTTTATGAGGTTTTTGGTAGGTTCTTTAAGAGATATAATCTGCCTTCTTTGTTGTGCTACAACAATGACTAAAAACAGCAAAAGAGCACTAAACTTTCACATTGGGTTAGATGCCACGTATTGTGAAACTGGAATTCTAATTTTCAATGGCACTTTAATAGAAATCTTTTAACTAATCTGTGTTATTTAGTGCATTACGATTGAACACAAATGATAATGTACTATATGGTGGAGTGAGATAGATGACTGCACAAATCTACTCTGCAATATTGGAGACAATATTGGAAATTGTTTTAGAGAGATAATCAATAGAACAAATAAAATGACAAATACAAGCTTATAAGGCTTCCTGCTCTTTTTGGCTTCAGTTTTTAAGTTAAGCATATTGTTTAATGATTTTCATTAACAGTGTAGTTTGTAATGTTTATCTAAATATTAAAAGGTAGTATAGGAACATAAGCATAGAAATTGAAGTCTCAGGTCCTTGAAAAATAAAGGCCAATAACTAATTTTAATTTTGTATAAAAAATCCAGTTCTCTGAGGGCAAAACTATTAAATAGCTTACCACAAATTTAACAGGGAGATTCATAATGTCTTATTCTAACCCTCTTTTATTCTAAAAAATATTTGAGGAGATAAAACTCCAATGTTAGCTTTAATAAATCTTCGAAGTTTATTTTTATTGCATTTAACTTGAAATAAATGAAAACTCTATATATTTAACTAGTATTATATGTATGTATATCATATAGTTTCTAAAGGTAAACAAAATTTCCTTCTTAAGGAAGAAAAGACTTCCAAAGCACTGCTTTTATTAAATAAAATAAAATTTAGAAATGTATCTGAAGACCTTGCATCAGATATATTTGTATATCTGGTAGTTGCAAAGTTGTCTAATTTTTTGTCCTAATGATATATTTTCATCTCCTCCCTGCCCAACCTGAATGACCACATGGAAATAATTCACTGGATAACTTCCAAGCTCATAATTTAGTCAGTCTTAGATGTGCCTGTCTTAATTTAGTTTCCAGATATGAGAAAGAAAGATGGGTTGCCTCTTTAAATGAGGCAAAGCATTTTGAACACAATAATTATTTCTCCACCTGTTCTATTGTCAAATGATGTAATTTTACCACAAGCAATGAGAAAGCAAAAGGAGAAAAGCATCTACTGTATAGTCAACACTGAAATCCAAGATTTGTCCCCACAGTCAACTTATGTTAAAGCAGACATATTCTAGAAGTATCTTAATTAACCAGACGAGAATGTCTTTTAAGTAAGTTATATAAAGGCATTTGATAACTGAGATTCAAAGACATTGATTTGTCAATATAAGTAGCAGCAAACAATTGTGCCTGCTTTTTAGCTGATATATTTTATCTAAAATGAGAAAATGAAAAAGTGACTTTATCATCATCCCTTTTTTAGTACAGCAACTTCTAGACAATCCACAGAGAATGCACTTGGCTAACACATGCACTTTGTCATTCTTTCATTTGAAAGAAACACCATTTTTAATGATTTGTAATGATTACTAAAATAGGGGGAAAAGTGGATATATTCAATTCTAGAAGATAACTACAGAAAACAATGAAAATTATTATTCATTAATATAGAGATTTATATACATATACGGACTTTCTTTTTTGTAAATTGTGGACTTGCTCTAGGAAGTCAGCACTGCCATATTATATGAAAATTAATGCTTATCATTTAATCATGAATATTCTTGGAAATGAGAAATTAGAATTTCTATTTCTCAGTATACAACTTCCTTTCTATTATTACATGTACTATCGTCCATGCAATTATAAAAAATGAGCATACCGTGTCATAAATTTATTTTCCTTAATTTCCTCTTTTATTTTTCCTTCCCTCTTTTATTTTCCCCTCCCTCTTTGATTTTTCACTTACTGATCATAACAGACACTGTGTTTACATTGGGGTTGAAAGAGCAGCGTCCTTTTCCAGATTCACATTTGGAGTCAATCATGAAAACTTGGTCCTTTAAATATAGATAAAATTGAAAAATGTAGTAATAATAAATAACTTTATATTTAGTTAACAAATTATTCTTTAGTAAAACGAATCATCACCATAAGTTTTCTACTTGGTTGCTCATGCCTTCCCAATTTAGTATGTTAAGACTTTCTTGAGGCAATATAAAGAATCCACTGATAAATTGCAAGCTAACCTCAGTAGGTCAAATTCTTATCCTATTACATTCCCAATAGAGTTAATTCAACAAGCTTTCCTCAAATCAATATTAGTAAAAAACATTTGGAAATTAAGGATTACTATAAACCTGAACTAGTTAAGTTGGACATTGACCAAATGCAGAAAACTGTCCACAGAAGAATGTGTACAGAATTACAATATTTCCAAAATAGGCAAGACTTTTTTAAACATAAAATTTTGTTACCAGGTAATTTAGTTATATAAAGCATTATACCAGATTTAACACAGTAATTCATAATTTAGATAAAAATGCTTCATTTACTCATCTTTTTAACAAAAATATATTGAGCATTGACTAGGTAGCAGGCATTGACAAAACATTTGGGATATAGTAAACAAAATAGACAAAAATCTTTACCCTCAAGTAATTTATAATATAATGCTGGAGAATATAAATATGTCAATGTAGAAAATAAAAGGAATAAAAACATAAAATCTAGAGTATATTAGATAGTGCCCAGTGCTTAGGAGAAATATTAAGCAGGGAATGCGACTAGGGAAGCCCAGGGACTATGGGCAATGAGTTTAGTTTGAAATATAATGATCGTTGTGGTCTCACTGAGAGGGAACGTTTTGTTGATATATTTATCTTTTTTCTTATGTAAATTAGTAAAAGCTACTACTAAAATTCAATGAAAAAATGTTGGTTTATTTGATGGTGGAGGACTGTAATTATCAAACTAAGATTTTTCAAAATTATCCTAAAAGTAACGTCAGCTCAGTATTTTTCAGTATGAAAACGAAAGGATCAAAATGCTGCTTTATGATGATGGGGCCTTACCTTGTGCTTTAAGAAGATTGAGAATGGCAGTTAAAAAACAGACACAGGATTCAAGAAAATAGATTGGTTTTCAACTGCAGTAGTCCAAGACTTAAGTAATAATAAACTGACATGCCAGAATCTCAGTGGTCATGGTAAGAGCAGTAAAGATACAAGAGAATTTGTAAAGTAAAAATCAGCAGAGCTTGGCATTCGATTACAAATTGGATGCAATTCAGGAAGATGAAGAAAACAAAGATGAATCTGAAGTTTTTAATCCTTAAAGAAAATAAAACTCGTTCATTTTGTTATATTGATTTTGATGTAGTGGTGGGACTTTCCTTAGGCAAAAGAGATGCACAGAGCTTAAAAAATCACAGTACTTTAGCCTGGAAAGGTCCTACAACATGATCCTCTTCAATGAATTAACTCTACAGATGTGAATATGACTTGCCCAAGACCATGTAGCTAAACACTGACAAATGAAAATTAAAATTCAGTCTCCCGGCTCCTAACCACATCTGGTTTCTAAAAGGTCATTATTTATACAATGACTAAACTAAATAAATGATAATAAACTTGAGGAAAAACAATAAAATTAGTAAGCCTGTTTATGATTCTTTAGTCAGAAATGTACGTAGATTTGATGCAAAAAGTGAAAGTTGGCATTGCAGGAATTGGTGAGATTGCTTAGCTAATGCTTGCTCTCCACTGACCTGCTCCTCGGTTACACAACATCCTTGTATTCACACAGTTATAGATCTTGTTATCACCAGACAGAGATATGGTCCACGTGAATAATCTCTGATTCAAGGACCCTGCGACAATTCTTTGAACTCCTTTCTTAAGAACTCTATTTTTCCCAAGTCATCAACATTCTCTCTTTTTGACTTTCTTTATTAACCAGTTTAGATTCAAAACTTTTTAATTTCAATAATTTCTTTGCAAAAATATTAAGTTCCTTGAATCTGAGATATACTCATTACATCCACAGACTGGAAGACACATCTATCTTTGTTCTCCATACTTGCCTCCAAATTTCTTAAGCATTTTGCAGAAGATGATCCAACAAGGTAAATTTAACATGGTATAGATTCGTGATCACAAATCCAAAATGAACCCTGTGTACTATACTTCTCAGCAGCCTTTCATGGGCACTCTTGTCAACTGGTTCTTCCATTAATGATTTCGAATCATTGCCACATTAGTCAAATCTCCTAACTTATTCTCAGCTCACATGATACTCATGTTGCTGTGAAAGTCAAGTTCTTAAATGAGACAGCTTTAACTTCTGATTAACAAACACATAAACATATATACACTAATACAACCACTAATTCAGGAGAGGAACTATTTCTCTTATTTTGAGGACAATCTTTCCACCAATGTTTGGATTTATTCTTTTCCAATCTTCTTAGGCAACTTATACTTTCCATTATGCCTTCTCTTTTTTTGATCTTATTAACTGTATCCTTTACATCATAGTTTAAACAATCCTTTCAGCTCCTACACATTACTCTCCTTCAGAGTCACATTTCTTGAATTTCATGTACTCATCAGCATTTCCTGACTTCTTACTTCCTTCTCAATGCACTTCGATTGGGCACTGAACTTCAACTGCTCTATTAGAATCTTTTTAGATGAGATCCTTACTGACAATCATGCTATACGATTCAGTGCTGACTTTCAGACCCCACCTTACTTGGATTCTCAGTGGTATTAGAGATTGTTGCCCACTTCTATCTTTTTTAAATGATTTATTTTTATTCCCAGAACCAACACACTCTTGCTTCCTCCTCCCCTCCACCCATTTCTCTGGCTGTTCCTTTTTACTATTGTTTGTAAGTCTATTTTCCTCCATCTGGCCATAAAGTTAGGACATCCTCAAGTCTCAACCACAGTCACTCTTCTTTTTTCACACTATACTCTCCCTGCATAATTAACCTCACTCTTTGCTTGAGCTTCAGTTGCTCTTATAAAGCAATGACTCAAGCATTGATATAGCCAACTTTATATTCAACTGCCTACTTTATATTTACTTGTATCTTTCAACAGTATCTCGGATTTAAAAGAATCAAACCTAGGTGCATAATCTTAACCTCAAACATGGTTCCCTTCAGTGTTTCACATCTTGGTTCATGGCAACTATATAATTAAAGAGGCCAAAGATACAAACGACGACGACAAAAAAGTCAGCATCTACACTATATTTCTTTTTCCATAGCCAAATCCACCAATATCAGCTATACTATTCTATACTTCATGTCTATTTCTGTCTTCATTGCCACCACCTGAGTATAATAACCTCTTTATTAGCCTACTGCATCAACTCTCTAACTGATCTCACCAATCACAGCCCTCCCAACCACTCCCCACCCTAAATCATTTGTAAAATAACACTCAAGTGACAGTTCAATTCTGCTTAAGCTGTTTTCAACTTACGATTGTTCCAGGCGCTTCTCCTTTAAAACAAGAAAAATACAAATATCTTAAAAATAGCTAACGAGTTCTGACATGAGTTTCTGCCATTATTCTTATTAAATAAAAACATTTGTAGGTTGAATTAATAAGAGAAAATAACAAGACAGGAAAGAGAGTTGGTGGTGAAAAATTAAAAAGAAGGCATAGCAAAATATCCCACGGTTTTATGAGTCAGTGAAGGCACTGAGAAATAGAGGGCACGACCACCATGTTACAGATTGGACTAGGAGAAAGGATGTTGACTAGGGGAGTTGATTGATAATTGAGAAATCTTTCTCATTAGGAAATAATTTTAATTAATGGCTTGTAATGAAAGATAAAGAGAGGTTTAACAAAGACATGAAAAATAGAAATATAAAAACTAAAAGTATAGCCTACTAGTCTGAGAGGTTTCGTAATGAAGTAAAGAGAAAGAAAGAAGAGTCTTAAAAAGTCACAGATCCAAGAAAGAATTTTAAGGAAAAGAAACATAATTCTATTCCTAAAAAAGAAAACAAAAGTAAATGCATGGGAAAGGGAATTAAAATATAAAACAGAGTGATAAAATTTATTAACCAAAGAGCTTTATTGATGAGCACAACTTTTCTTCTGACAAGAAAAATGTACCAACTTTTCTTCTGACAAGAGGAAAACCCAAAAAGATGCAGTTTGGTGACTCATTTGTTTCAAAAGCACAGGAAATAATTTGGATGCCTGGGATGTTCTTGGTCATCTGTGATATTCTTGATCAGTCAAAGGTAAGGTTATCTACTTGGTGAGTGGCAGGGTCAGAGGCTTAAATGGTATTTAATTGTTGGAACAAATGTTATGAAGATATCTGATAAAACCAGAGATAAGGTGTGGTAATATTCCAAGAATGCACACCCAAATTGACCAATAATTATTTTTAATTAATGTTGTATTCATTATTTGAAGTCATTATTTACATGTGTTGCTTTACCTTTTTCCGAGACAGAAGACAGAGAACAAAGATAGTAGCCAGAAGAGAACCATGGTTAGGAAATGATGTAGCAAGGATTGTAGGCTCTTTAGATGAGCACTGTTAAAATGCTCTAGGAAAGCTCTGAATCAGACTCCCAAAATAATGGAAGAGTCATGGGCTATAATAAAAGTGTGTGTTGTTCTAAATGTGAAGTAGGCCAATAAGATATTCTCTGAGGACCGATGAATTGCTATTTGACAGGCAGATAAAAGGTGGTGGATAGTGTCTCAGAAATAAAACTGAATAATTGATGAGTATTCCACCCTAACGTGATTCACTTTCAAACTTGTTTCAAATACATGAAAAATGACATATATTAGTACTAACATAGGGTGTTAGCAGTAAGTACTATCTCGTCATTACAAAACACATTGTTAGCGATGAGTAAGAATAAGAATTCTTTCAAACTACAACTTTCTACATCATGGGGTCATTTGATGCTAGGGGACCTTTTTTCCTAAACTAAAGAAAAAAAATACATTAGATGTTTGATGATAAAACTGCATTCTATATTTACTACAGATATGTATATAAATATGTTATGATAAAACTCTTTAACTTGACTAGTGAGCACAGCATATAAAGTTTAAAATTTATTATTCTTTTTATTCTTAAATTAGCTTTTAAAATGTTCACATATTATTTAAAGAGATTAATAGAAATGCTTCCCCTTTGAAACATATCTTTTGAAGTGAGAATAAAGTAGTTCATATTTAGTAAAGTGATTAAAATTTATTCCATGCTCGCTCTCCAAAGGAGATTATTTTTTTGGACAGACTTTCCAATTAAGCCTTGAAGTGCATAGTGGGCAATTTGTACATGGGAAAATGATTTCATTTGAAATCCGTACTCTGAAAACTGCTATGCTATTGTTGGCCGGTACAGTGACTGCACAGTCTTCAGTAGAGTGTCTGACAGATTGCAGACGTCTGGGGCAGTAGTTTATTTAATCAATTGATCATAGGCATGTGGTTCTAATGACAAGCTCAATGCAGCCAACTGTACTCTTCCAAGAAGCATAGCTTTACATTTCTTTAAAATTTTTTATATTTCATATCATCTTGAACCACTTGGAAATGCCTCAATATGGGGTCAAATTATAATTACTATTATTTTAAATGACTTTTTATTCACCAAGAAAAATATGTATAAATTACATGTCTGAAAAACTTTAATTATAAAGGAATATAGAGAGAATCATTGTTTAATTATATTAGTACTACAATAGATTAACTCTTGTTAAAGGAAAATAAACTTAATAGGGTACATCAGTGGCTACAATTCTAATTTGTAAAATTGAATTAAGACATTATTTAAGTACTGGACTTCCTAGATTAAAGTTGCATAATGAAACCAAAGCAAGATAATTTGAAAGAATTCAGTTTTTAAAATACTTATGTTCTTTTAGTTGAACAATGTGTTTGACTAAAAGAATGAGGAAAAACTCTTTCGCTGAAATGAATAGTTTCCTCAGTCAATAATTGTGAATGAGGATAAACACAGTCTTAAATATCACAGTTGAGCCAACTGTATGTTTGACTATGCATTAGCTGCATACTTAGTTTGAGCAGATGCTTTTGTCTCAGAACTCTAATCATTTAAACCAATGTAGGAATAAGGCTAGAATACCTTAGCGTGGACCAATGTTTATCTAAAATGAAAATATGATTTATTAATTACATAAAATTATTTTTAGCAAAGGCACTTGGCATCCTGCTTTACACATCTTTTACAGGTGTGTAGCTCATAAAAGTTTACAAAATATGAATGATAAATAAGGAGTTATTTGAAATAGATTTGAGAAAAGCGAGTTTATACTATATTTCTATAATTTGGAGCAAGTATTATCAGTATCTTACATTCTAAGTAATTATGAAATCACACCATTTTTCTTTATCTTTTGCAGGTTTTCCAAATGATATATATATATAATTTATTAAAGGCAAAAAGTTATATTTTAAGAAATTTGGCAGACAGAAACAAAATGTAATATATTTTGTTTTTTTGTGTGTGTTTAAAGCACTTGAAACTTTTTATGACTATTGATATTTCCACTTACCTCTGATCTCCTCCCTCTGTTCAAATAAGTACAGACTGGGCTGAAAGCACCACTCCCACAAACATACAAATGAGTGCGGTTGAAAGCCTGAATTACACGGACGAAGTTCCCACAGCCATGCTGAAAGAATAGGTAAACAAGCGATTGGTAACCCAATGACTTTATTGTTATTTCTAAGTACTGTTGTGAAACTTTGCTATACATTTTTCTTTATATTCTTTTTCATTGTTAGGATGTAATAGAACAACATGGTTTATACTGTTGCTTTATTTTAGGAAGAAAGTAGTCCAACATAGATTATGAGTAAAATAAAGTCTCTCTCATATTTTATTTCTATATATTGTGTAAGTTTTTATATTCTGAAACTTTATAGACTTAATCTTTACCTGAGAAAGTTTAGAAATTGTAAAGTATATCATAGTTTTTCCTAAAAACATTATACACATGCACACACACATAAATACTTTACATAAACATGTTTTGAATAAAATTGTGCTTATAAAAGGCCCGTATTGTCATTAATACATAATGAAAAACACAATTAGTCTTTACAATTGGTGAATAAAATAAGTCTTGAACAAAATGCCAGCATTGTTGCTTCCTTTGAAAAATGATGCAATCATTACCTCTCTGCCCTTGATCTCCTAAAATACCGTTTCTCCAAAATCTCTTTTCTCACCTGCTCCAAAATCTCTTTTCTCACCTGCTCCCAGTCCAACCACTGAAAGTTGTCATTTATGTGCTCAATGAAATGCAAAATTATTATTATAATTATAAGTTGACTATGATCCTGCAGAAGTACATAGACATTCTCAGGATCAAACGCAGATCTCTGTTACTGAAATAATCATTGAGTGATCTACGTTTGCTAGACTCACTCTCATTTGTTGACTACAAATTAATCAAGCCTGAGAATGAATGTTGTTCCCTTCACAAAGTCATTTTTCTCTCAGAGAGCATTACTAAACATAATGTTACAAATCAAAGACAATTTTTTTTAAGTAAAAATAAATACATCAAAAGGTAACTGGTTTTCCCAGGGGTAGTCAGAGACTGTAGGTGCTTACATAGAAGTTACATTTAAAGTCAATATTATTTTATATTTTCCCATTATTTTCTTTTATATTCATTATTATTGACAGTAATATGCTTATTTTCCTATGTAGTAATTTTATACATGCATTTCTATTATTGGTTTTTATTATCAAATAGTCAATCCTTAGCTCAGCCGTCAACAAAATTAAACCTTACGGACCAGACTATACACTTTATTTTTATTTTAAGACATTAAGGATTTTTGTTAAACACATAGTGTCTTGACACCTGTTTATAGAGGTTCCTGGGAATTGACTACATAACTGCAGATGACATTGTATTTCTCTGTAGAAAAAACATAGATGAAGTGTGGTGTGTACATAATATGTCTATGTTAAGGGTATCTGTGAGTAATGAGACTTGTGTTTATTTTTTTCACATTCAAGTTTAGTCATTCTGGGATTCTGTATATAATATTTTTCCATAAGACATGAATTCAATTTGTACCATCATGAATTACTGATACTTGAAAAACAGAAAAAGTCACTAATACTATTATATTTCAAATACAGATTATACTTATTTCAAGTATATGTTTATATCTATATATAATATATATGCTTATTAAGGCTAATATTTGTTGAGAATTTATTATGTGCTAGATATTGAAATAATTTTTATTTAGTCTCTTTTATTTCCTAAGAGGTTTAATTTTTTACCTTTATATCTCATATTTATTGAGCATATTATATATCACTTAAGCACTTTACATTCATTCAATTTTCTTGACAACAATTCAACCCCTTTTAGAAAAACAAAGCCTAGAACATTTTTAGATAACTTGCCTGAGGGCATATACCTAGAAAAGGGTAAAGCGGATTTTTAAACACAGATATGTCTAACACATCTTGCACTTTTAACCACTTTATAATTTGTCATTGTGTTAGAAATCAATAGTTGTTAGAGGAGAGTTTATATGACTGTTATTACTGTTTATAGAGCTCTTAATCCTTTGATGTTAATTGTTTTTAATCCTCACAGCAATGTTCCACCTAAAGTATTAGTCCCATTTTAGTGATGAGGATATTGAGTTTCAAAGAGGTTAAACGAAATGCTCTAGGTTCAATAAGTAACTGAGCTGGGCCTTGAATCATGGCTACCCTCCACCACCCATCTTTTCTATAGGAAGGGGTTTATTAACCATGAGACAGAGTCCCATGTTATCTGATGATGCTCAGTGTACCTCTCTGAACTTCTCCACAGAGAAAAACGCAAAAGGAAAAACAAATCAGGTGAGTTAATTATTGAAAATTATGTGCTAGGTCCTTTCCATTTCCATCATACTTCCTTAGTTTCTGTCCACATTATTTCTGACCTAAACCATTGCAATTCTGTCAATTCCATTCAGCAAATATTTATGAACTTGGTCTATGCAAGCACTGGAAATAATGCTAGCAACACTGGAATGAAGAGATTCAATTCCTGCTTTTAGAGAAAGGAGGCCATAACACATCAGGCTATGGTAGATGCTATAACAGGGCTATACTTTTCAAAATATGCCATAGAAGGAAAGGAGAGAGAATGAGTAATGCTGAACTGGGTATAAAGGTTTTAAAGGGGTTTCATCGGAGCTGGAACTTGAAGGATAAGTTAGAGATTTTGACAGGTAAAAGCATAAGGAAAGAATATCTCAACAGAAAAAAGAGCATGAACAGAAAAATGGGGGCATGACAATGCAGGATTTATTTGGGGAACAGTGCCTAGAGGGGACAGAGGATTATTATCTGATGAAACCACAGAGGCTTGTAGAGTTGGTCTGTCAGCACACTATAGTCTCCAGATGGGCCAGATTACCAGCGTTCAAATTCTGACTTTATCTTTTACTAGCTGTTTGAACTTGAGACAATTTTTTAGCCTCTGTGCTTCAATATATTTTTTAAATCTGTAAATAGTGATGATAATATTTGTTTTGAGTAACAAAATTTGAGTAACAAAAAAGCATTTGGAATAGTGTCTGGCACATAATACATACACACAAGGTTAGATCTTGGATTATTTCATTGCATTTTGGGTTCCAATGGTCAGTACAAACCTTTGAAGTGAACAAGGCATCCGTCCTGCACAGAGCTAAGTGCAGGTCGTGACCATAGTAGACATCCGTGGAAGGTTTGGGGAACGAGACTTTAGTGAAATTCAATACCATGGATGTTTTCTTTTTATTGTTTAACTCTATTTCAAAATTATTTGCTGATATAATGTTAAATAAAAATAAATCAGGCCACTAACATTATGTAGAATATAACACTATTTTATTCATATACATATATGTCATATACTAAAAAATAAAACGCTGGAAGAACATAACCCCAATGTTTAAGTTACTATGTTTGGGATGGTGTAATTTATTTTATTTACTTACTTAACTCCAATACAGCATTTACTGTGTGCTATGTACTGTTCTACGCTCTCTGCAAATGTTAACTCATTAATGCTCTTAACTGAGTAAGGTATTATAAGTATGCCCATTATACACATACAGAGACTAAAACACAGAGAGGTTAAGTCTTCAGGGTCAAAGAGCTAATAAGAGATTGTTTTTCTGTTGCTTTTTACATGCTTTCTAAGCCTCAAAGATTTCTGTGTTAAGAATATATTAATTATATAATTTTAAAATAGGTGTTTTAAAAATATATCCTGGAGCACAGATGACCAGGGCTTTAAATATTGACTCTTCATGGTCCATACTATGCAATGGGAAAAAATACCACTTATTTTTTTCTTACCAACCCACATTTTTCTGCCCTGGGGAATGAATCAAGGTATTTTGGTAAGTGTATTACTAAAGAAAATATATTTTCCAATAGTTTAGGATCCTCTGGTTACAGAAATAGAGAAACTGATATTCTACAATTAATAAATCAAGTCAGACATTGTGTGCTTCTTATGCATATATGCGTAAATATATATAATCCTGTTTAATTTTTTGATGAACTCTTATAGTATTTACTTAGCAAAATCATTATTCCCTATCACAGTGGATATGTTTAACAGCATGTGCTATTGTTTTACCTCAATTTATTTAGAATATGAATAAAATATTAACATTTAGAAATAAACAGAGCATGTAGGAATGTGAATACATAAGGGCAGAAAGGGAAATTGGAGATAGGTTATACTCTCTTTAGATGACGTAGAAAATTAGTCATATCCCTACCACGATCATTTACTTTCTTTGTAAACATTAGACTATTAGAGTATTATGATATATTATTACCTGGGGTCAAATTTTAAATTATATTGAATTATTTTCTAATAATTGTTATTTCGTAACTTTAAATTTTGACGTAAGTAAAATATCTTAAGGAATAAGGGATGCTTGATTCTGGGTTTTATTTTTTCTTTCAGTTGTTACAGCAGCATGGATTTTAGTTGTCACTAGTTTGTTTGGCTTAGTTGATGATTAATATAATACTTAAAAGCACACATTTTTAATTTAACCAAAATGTACTTCTAAAATATGTGCATAGTAAATTTACTACAAAATTATTAATCTCAGGGCATTTATCAACTCGACATCCATGGTATGGATCCACCAACCTCTGACAATCACTTGGAGCAGCTTCCTGTGCTTGTTTGCTTCCATCTCCATTTTTTCAGATCTTATTTTAATTTTATGAAGTAGCTAGAAAAGATCTGGATCCTGGAGATACCGATACATAGTACAAGGTATTTCCAATAATGAGGGGAGAGTTACAGTTAAAAATGTAATGAAATAAGTGCTAGAGTGTTTCAGGTGCAAACACAGAGCGAGGGGCAACTAAGCCCGTCCTAGGTGGGGGAGGCAAGACTCCAGAGAAGTGACACCTGCACTATTTTTTCCTCTCTCCCTTCCTCCCTCCCTCTCTCTCTCTCTCCTCCCTCCCTCCCTCCTTCCTTCCTTCCTTTTTTTCAATTAATTTCAAGTATACAGTATGTTGGTTAGATATTTAGTTTCTAAAATGATCTCCCTAATTACTCCTTCTCTACTCTGGTCTCTTGAAAGGATGTATAGGTGATTCCCAGGCTAAAAAGATGGGGAGATAATTAAACAAGAGAATTACATGTAGCATATACCAAAGGCTGAAGAGGGAAAGGTATCAGCACCATTGAAATGAGGAGAAAGGCTAACATAAGACATCATAGTCGCTACCATGTCTATCAAGCCTTTTCTAAATATCCTAGCTACCATTGTGCTTTTTCTGTCTTGTATGTGTATCCTTAGCATTTACTATATTAACATCCATTTTGTAGTATTGTTATGAGGATTAAAACAAGGCACTTAGAACAGTGCCTGGCCCATTCTAGTAAATGTTGGCTATTGTTATTTGATAATTACTGCATATATGTCTCATCATCTTTGGTATATTGTTAAGATTTCTGAAAGTAGAGACTCCATCTTATTCATCTCTGGTTTCTTTGCAATAACCAACTGATTCGTGCCAATTAAAATATTTATTTCCAACATTTTTAATAATGAAACATGAAGTGATTAAATGATATGTATTCCAACAAATTCAAGAGATTCTTTAACATTTCATTTTATTGAAAAGTATAATAAAAATATGTTGTTCTGTAGAACTTTTAGAGGCCTATTTTTTTAGCCTCATTTTTCTACCACTGGCGTTTTTCCTATGGCCTGATTAAAGGACATTTCTCTGTATCTCATCTGTATAAAATGAGATGGATTTGTCAAGCATTCTCTACTCTTGCATGGACAGAACATGTGTTTGAAAAAGTTAGTTTGAATATTATCTCCCAGGACTCAACAATGTTGCCTATACTAGAATAGAACCCTCCACCAGTTACATATGCTGTGTATACTAATTGACTGCATAGTAGAATTTAAAGATATCTATGAATGATATTACAGCATGACAAACTATAAGAAAACATAAGCATGTATCAAAGATTTCATCTAATGACTTTTAATTATAAGAAAGCAAATGGCAGAACATTTTTATTTTGCCAAAGGGAGAAAGAAATCAAATGACTTGGCTAAGATTCTTTAGAAAATCAACAGCAATTTTTGGAACAAGAATGTGTAAAGGTGTCCAAATCCTACATATTCTGCCTGTGGTAGTTTGTATGAATGGGAAATGAAAATCTTTTTTGAACAAAAAACAATTAAATCCAGTAATTATAGCCACAGGATATTATTGTGGCAAAAAGCAAATCATGATGAGATACACATTAGTGGAATAATCTCTATATTAGAGAATGAAAGAAAATAGCTTAATTTATGCACAATTATTGAAACAACAGCTTTGGAGGACAAAAAAAAAAAAACATTCCACATTATACTTCATTCTACTATTGGTTCCCTAGAAAGCAATTGTAATGTATTCTTTTTAATCTTTCTTCCATTTTTCTGGAATTTTCCCTCTAAATTGTGATCTAGAAGATCTTGTGGGTAGTGAATATGCTCCTCCTGCAAGCTTCTTCTGCCTATTTTTAATTTCTCTTATAAAGTGAATTATGAAACTGAACATATTAGACCCAGAGCTGAGTCACCTCTGGTAAGCCCCCTTGCCAAGAATACCCTCCAGTGATATCTGGAGATTCTGCAGTCCAGAGTCTTCTGTGGCCCCAGCTTTGAGCCTCATCTTTTCAGAACCTTGTATCTGGGACTGTTAAGAGTCATCAAAAATAAAAATTTCATTTCTACACTTTCTCCTTCCACAAAGATTAGTCTTTTCTTTGTTTGAATCGACCTGATGAATTTCTGAAATACTCACTACAGAGGCTCAGTGCACAGGCTTCTCTCCCAAAATCAGCATTTCTTACCTGTACACTTATAAAGTATGTAATCACCATTTTGACCCCAAATCCAGGCTGTTATTTGTTATAACTCTACCTAAGTGTGTGTGTGTGTGTGTGTGTGTGTGTGTGTGTGTGTGTATGTGTGAGTGTGTATGTGTACATTTACTAGTTTTACTACCTAATCACCATATTTCAATCTCATACCCACATTAGCATGCATTCCCATGCTTATTTGATTAATGTTGACTTCTCCAACCAGACAATAAAGTTAATGAGAGCCAAAGATGTCTATTTTGGCACAAAGTTATGTCTCTAGCAATTAACACTATGCCAGATGCATTAATAGATTCTCATTCAATATTTGTTAAATGAATGACTGAAAGAAAGAATGAGTAATAAAATTCTTTATTAAATTATTTTTATAACAGAGGGTGATTTTGAGACTTGAATCCATTATATTATTTTTTATGATTTGAGATAAGAAGGTGAAATGACATATAGAGTTCATTATAAACGTTAAATGACTTGAGCACATTAAAGATCTGCTCCATGTATTCTCTTATAATATTGAAGAATAATCTGTGAGTTTCAGCGAGTGGTTTGCAGAAATCAATATAGATTTATTATTCTATAACGAATTCTACCTAAAGGAACACAATTTGTAGAAGTATTGCACACTGAAAATTTATGGATATTTATATCTGCCTCAACTTTTGTTTCTATGATTATTTTTAATTAACAAAGATACTAGTCATCACAGGTGATTTATCCTCTGGAATGTGCCAGCTAACCACAACCCTTTCCCTGAGAATCTTTCTTTGGAAAAGCCCATATGGTATCTGGGAGTTGATCCAGATACTTGCATTATCATTATTTCAACAGCCTGCTGAGAATTCCATAGGTTGGATCCACTTGGAACAAGGGTTATTACTGAAATCCATCATAAAAAGTGTCAGGGTGCAATAATGAAAGCAAGGCAGGAAATTTTTACCCTGTCAGGAATTCCTAAATTACAGTGTTTAAGAGTTCCAATCTCTTTGCATTTACATTTTTTACCATGTGTCCAGCAGAGGATTTAAAACACCAACACCTGTTGTCTTACTCTTGGCTATACTCAAGGTACATGGATTCGAAGACCAAATATTTAAGTTTTGAGGTGGTTTTCTTTCTTTTTTTTTTTTTTTTTTTAAGCACTTACTGTGGGATCTTTGCCAGCCATTTTGCACTCTTCGACTTTGATTGTAGATGCTGGCCAGAAAACCTGCTCAGAAAGGAAAATAATGATTGTATAAATTTCACTTGTATATGTGACAGTTCAACGCTCTTCATTTACTTTATGCTAACAAATTTCTTTAAGATATTTCTATGTTTATATTTCAAAATTCTTTCGTTTTTCCTCTTATGAACTTAAATTAATAAAGATTTTATTATTTTATTCTAAAAATTATGTTTTTCTTCTTTCCACCAATTTTTCTTTTAACAAAAGCCTTTCAATAATATATGCCTATTCACTAATGGTATATTAACATAAGGTCATTATTAACATAAAGTGCATGATATAATGTATATTTCCTTCTTTTTGATTTATAGTACACTTTTCCCAACTGCTTATATCACAACGAATTTACATTTACTTTGCTATCTCATTTTAATATTATTTTTGGTAAACCACACAACCAAGCTGGTAGATTTACTTAAAATGGGCCTCTATGTATGCCAACTGTTAAAATAACTTGGATAAAATCCAAAAGATTCCCTCTCTGAAATACTATACTGTCATTCTGAGTCATTATAGCTTGGATCAGGTCTGGTGGTGGTGATTTTTTTTTAATTGCCCATTGCTTATTGTTAAAGTAATAAGTTCAAAAATCTCTTTGCTATAATAAATTTATAATTAATCTACTTTTATTTCTTTACTCCAATGAAGCTCAATTTATATCCTTGTTGTGAAACAGGATGATAAATATACGCCACATTTGTTCAAACAATTTTACGTTTAATAATCGTGTTCCTTGCAAGGGCTTCTTGGAATACATACAGATGACAAGGCAGTTCTTCCTTTAATCTGACCATTTTTTCATGCTATTCTCCATGCTTCTCTTTATCCCTTTCTATATATGTATACACAGGGAGTATTTTCTCATATAGTTTCAGGTTTTAGATTATTAAAAACTGTGAAACAAGAAAGGGAGAATTGAATTGATTATATTTTCAGCACATGAAATAAGTACTAACTTCCTATTATTAACATGGGTCTGGATTTTCTATTGTTCTAATGAAATACATAAGTTTTTCATTGTATTTGAAATTTTTAAAGAAAAAAGCACCTAGGGAGGTCAACATTGCTCTCATAAAAGTAATAAACTTACACTCAAAGGTTCTTGACTTATATTGTTGATATTCAAGGAAAGAATGTGATCTTTGCTGCCCACATATATCCGGTCCTGGTCTTCATCCATTAATAATATCCTGTAGTCTAAAGGATGGTGGGATAGGCTGAAGTATTCAGAGGTCTTGGTTTCTCGAAGCTCTAAAATAATGAAGAGCACAAATGAAAACAAAGTATCTTTATTCTATGTTTCTATTATTTTAATGAAAATTACCTTACAGACATATTTACCAAAAAAGTAAAGATACATTTTCCTTCTACAATAATAAATTAATTTTAAAATAGAGTTGTGTCAGTGGATATTTTTAGTTATTGCTTCTATGTTGAAGTAAAATATAAATTAAAAATTTCAATGTTAAAGTATATAGTGATACTATTTGATTACAAAATTATTCACATTTTGCAAGAATCTCACCTCAGTTTTATCCCTTAACTGCCGTCAGTTCAAAATTAGTTAAAACAGATCAACCAAAAAATATAGTAAGTGAGCAAAGTGAACAACAAAAAACCCCCAACAAATCAACAATGACAGTGTAAATATCTTCCAAGCTACACTTAGTGTTTTATTATTGGACTCAATACATAATTTTAGTATTGTATTTCCTACTATAAACATTTACCTTACTTCTTCAACATAATTCTAATCAGTTTAATATATTTTTTAATAAATTACTATTTTTACCATTATACCTCATTGAGAACACAATGTTGTTTAAATGACGTATGCTTATGTATATATCAAAAGAAAAAATACAAATTTTCAGATGTTCTGAATTTTTGGATTTCAATATCTCAGTGATCAGTGACTCATGTTCATTTAACTTCTTTTACATTAAGTGGATGCTTGTATAGCTGAACTTTAAAGAAAATAAATGTACCATGACAATACAAATGTCTACTATAACAATTATAGCAGATTCAGTATTCTTTCTAGTCAAAATGCTCTTTTGAACAATTTAAGACTTTTCCATTCAAATGGTTCAGGTTTTCATTGTTCCGCTGATTAAACTCTACAAAAGAGTCTGCTTTCAAGGATTACTGTTTCTAAATTTTCATTTAATGACTCACAAATACATTTCTAGAAATTCTGATCAGGCTTTGATTTTACTTAAAGCAAAAGTGGAAATTATAAGAATTCTTATAGAAAGCCATTAATTATATTCTGTGAGCATTGGGTCTTATATGTGAAGTTAGAGAAGTCACACATTTAACATGTTCTCTGGCCACACCAGTTCTGAATGTCTGCCATAATATCCTTCAAGTTGTTTTATATTTAGCCAATAACCTGAAAATGCCATGGGAATATTATTGCAATTATGAAGCCATCTTGTGATGTCTAACTTCCTGTGACATTGAACGAGTTACTTAGCCTCTCTGTGCCTTAATTTCCTCATTTGTAAAAAGTAATAATAACAGTAATTTCTACCAAGAGTTCTCATGGAAATTAATTGATTTAATACCTATAAATATTTGAAATGAGTGGCAGAGAAAGTATTCAACAAATTCTAATAATTACTATTGTTAGTATTATCACATTTTAATCATGCTGTAAGGACATATGGAATTAGATAAAATATATATTTTCCTATTTTCTTTTTTTAAATTCAAGGAGCCAGATCCCTAAATTACTAACATATAATCTTAAAATATAGGTTCTAATATTCTTTCCACATGACAGTAAAGTACAAGACTTTTTATGTGAAAAAAATCATGAAGAAGTTACAAAAAATATTTCAGAAGACTCTTGAGAAGCTGATCAAGAGAAGATACAAGAACATAAGACATTGAAAGGTCATTTACACATGACACTAGAGGCCAGATCTTTGGAAATAGGGTATTTGAGAACCTGAGCACTGGGCAGCGTGCTAAGCTAGTTAGCAAGCCTCACTAGGCATCACGGAGAAGCGATGTAGTTGGCAGAGGCAGTGCCACTGGCCTAGAAATGGAAACAGCTTCCTTCAGGAGAAGAGCAAGAAAACATGGCAGGATGTCATCAGAAAAAAATGTCGGCACCTGCTAGACAAGAGGTTAGGGGAAAAAAAACAAGAGCTCAGAACATAAGAGAGAACACAGAATCCACAGTCACTCAAGGTTGGTGAAGACACAGGCTGCCTTGATTTTGCCTAAAATCTAGGATGTTTTGTCAAGCTTCTTTTTTCATCCTATGGAGCAGATTCATGGTTATAGAATTTTTCTGTAAAACATCAAGAGTAAGGTATAGTTTATGGTACATACTAGATCTTCAATAAATAACTCTCCAGTAAAATATATATACCAAAGATATAAATGTGACTGAGTACAAGGCCTCTGGGGACCAATCACTGGAATCTGAATCCCGGCTCTGCCATTTCAATTCTATAGGTACTTGGCAAGTGCCTTTATCCCTCTGTACTCCAGTGTCTTCATCTGTAAAGTCAGGATAATAACAGCACTTACTTAGAAGGGGTGTTGTGAAGTTTAATTGTTGATACATATCAAGTGCTGAAAAGAGTACCTGTCCAATAGTGACATAGGTTACATGGGTTACCTATTATTATGACTTGGGACAAGACATCAAGCTTCAGCCAGCAAAATAAGAATAATTCTTTACATGGGGAGAAAATATGGAGGACTAAATTTCTCAATTTATATGTATTAAGAATTTAATATTTAACCTTTTCACATATAGAATATTCTACTCAAATTATTCGAGTAGGAGAATAAAATACTAAGATAGTTTTTAAGGATTTTTTTTTTGAGTGGGTATGATAATTTTGAGTCTGGAAAACTAAGATATATTGTTCTAGATATGATGTTGATAAAGACCTGATATGTTAGAAATGAAAAGAAATTGTTGATGTGAGGAACACTTAAAATAAAGATTTGGAATGATTTTGTATGGAGTTGGTCTTGAGGTAAAAGGAAGATATAAATGCTACTCCCTCCCCAAATTGTAAACTAAGAATAGGAGAAATGAATATGCCTTTAGTGCTTTTGGGGGATAGCTGTTATTATTGAGTGTTGGTAAATTAAATTCAAATCAAGGCTGACATGTCCCACGAACATATAAAATTAAATAATCAATTTGCCATTAGAAATATCAAATCTGCAGGTAGAGATTTTCAATTCTTCTCATGAATTATGTGAAACTCTGAGATTAAGTAGATATTTCTGAGGATGAGCAAATCTGAAGTGAAAAGCAAAGCACAGAGATGAATTAATTATTAGATCCAAAAACAGGAGCTTTGGAATTGAAACTGAAAGTGTGTCATGGTTTATAGGCAACAGTGTGATATCATGGTGAGATTACAGATTTAGACTCATACATTCTGAGTTGAAATCCTAGCTTCACTACTTACTAAGTGTGTAATTTTAAGAGAGCTTCATCACTTCTCCCAGTCTTGATTTCCTCATGTATAAATTGGTTATACTAATACACAACTCAAAGGATATTCTACCACCAGCACACAATGGAGGCTCAATGTGTCCTCCTTTCAGCTGGAGACATTAACGGGTTTTTTCCTTTTCTCCCTTGTTGGCGGAGCTGGTCTATGCTAACCATAGCGGTCCCATCCTCCTAGCTAGTGAGTGGTTTTAATGTGACTAGTTTTGGTCAAAGAGATTTAAAAAGAAGCTTTCTTCAAGCATATTGGAAGAGGTTTCTTGAGTCTTAAAAACTGGCACAAAAAAGAGGTAATTTCTTTTTTTGCCTTTGGACATTGGTATGTGAACATATATACTTGTAGCAGTTGCAGCTACAAGAAAATTGCTAGCTGAGAATGGCAAACAGAAATTAAGAGAAAAAAGCTGAGTTCTTTAAGAAATCAGTTAATGTCTGAACTAACCCAAGAACTGCTCTATAGTAACTGAACTGCTTCTGTTACATAATACTTTTTTAAAAATCCTTGCAATTTTTAGGCACTTGAATTGAGGTTTTCATTTCCTGTTGTTGAAACTCTGATTAACTAATAGATCTTTGGAGTGTTCACAATCCCTAACAACTACGTTCTCACCCTTTCTATCATGGTTTGTTCAGTTTGGGTATTTTTTCAAAACATTCTTTTTTTCCCTTTCCCCCTCTTCCTCCTAATTTATAATAAAATAAAACAAGAGTGTTATCTTAGCTGGGGAAATAGCCTCAAATGAATTTTACTTACATGTAACAAACAATGGCAGTTCTCTTCTTTACCTGTTTCATCAGAAAAGAATCAATTTCTTGCATTAATTCAAATACCCAAGGGAGTATTAACTGCATTAACTTAAGACCTTTCTGGTCCAAGGATTTTATCTATTTTTCTGAGCCATAAAGCTATCTTCAAATTTAATTACCTTTAACTCATTGACAGTTGACAGCTGTTAACCAAGGAAGATTTACTTTAGAATCTTGTTAGAAGCCTAGAAACGAGGCTATTTTGTTAAAATGCTATTTAAATTGCTTTAAGTTAGCCATAATTGAACTTGGGGCTTGGGAAAAAAAAAACAAACAAACATTTTATTTTTAGAATAAAGAGATGAGTTCAAAGCATTGAGGATTTTTATCTATAAAAAGAATGACTAAAGAATCCATCATTTTGGTTTAATGTAGATCCAACTTAAGTCAATGAATGATTCAATTATTTGGCCACAGTTAGAGAAAATGACTGATTTAATGATGTGGCTACAGTAGGGGAAGGAAATCACAATTACTGTTTTGTCATCTAAACAAGTGAAAGAGTGGCACTGTTCCACAGTCCTTTAAATTTTAATGATGTCATCCTTTTTACATCATTGGAGGTACAACTAGTTGTGTTGTTTCTCAAGACATACTCAACTGAATGAGAAGGAACTTTGGCTAAGAGTATGTGGTATTAGAGAATGCAATGACCCCATAAAGGGCAGTAGAGGTCTCTAAGTCTCTGGGAAAATCTCCTGGGAAACAGTATTAAACACACACACACACACACACACACACACAGAGAGACACACACACACACACACACACATATTGTATGCTTCTATCCTAAAATCTACATTATTGTAAGTTCTATGATAAAATTTTACTGTAATGCTTTCCATGCCAATATTCCCTGAGAATATTCCTTGTAGCACAATATGCTTACCTGAAATTCATGGATTGACATGGACCTTTCTTTGTAATATAAACTATTGTGAGTCTTGAGAAT